CAGGTTTGATCCCCTCAGCGCGGAAAGTCTTTCTTCATTTATCTAACTAAAACTATTTAAGTTTAATCTTGAATGCAGAGAATAGCACTAATCTTAAAGTGTTTAAGAGTAAGGGCGTGGGGCAATGTCTCTCGTTACCAATCTTCTTTGTTTTTTTTTTTTTTTTTTTTATGCGGGCAATGTCTCTCGTTACCAATCTTCTTTGTCCAGAAATATGTTTGATACTGTAAAGTATGCACAAAGAACAATACAATAAAGAACGTAGATAGATGTCGAGATTTTCGCACCGTTCCCCGCAGTGCCGAAAGTTTATGTTCATTTATTTACAAAATTCACATTTTGAAAAAAACCTTATATGTGTGTTAATGTTGTAGGGTATAAAATTATAACATTTTCAATTAAGTTAAGCATAAATTAGGAAAGTTATAAACCTATAGTCCTTTTGTTAGAATAGAATTTAAAGCTTTAATAAATTTTAAATATAAATTTTAAATCTCGAAATACTTTTGTTAATCCTCTTTATTTTCATGTATCATTTATCATTCTAATGTAAGGGATTTATCTATCTCCATCAAATTAAACAATAGCTACATGCAAAATAACGAAAGGAAGAAATTATTCTTGGTATATTTGGATTTCCTACAACGACTTGTCAAATTACCAATAAAGATTTTACGATCGTAATAACAATGAATAATGATCTAATTTCGGATCTAATAAATCTTTATGATGGAAATTTAACGTTTTAAAGTCTTTAAGAATACAAATGAATGCAAACGGATTTAAATATAATAACTTACTATCTATCATTGGTTTTAAAATATCATAATACTTACATTTGGGCTTGCGAGGAAAAATTCCCTACCCTTTAAAGTATTTAACATAATTTCCACGGGGTGTACTCTGAGAAATTGTTAAGATCGATACACTCATTTTTTTTTCATCAACGTAAATTAAAACAAACCATCAGATATTATAGTTATCACCTTGTGATCAGCAGTTCCCCACCATGTGATTTAAAGGAAATTTTCCCACACTAGACTCCGTGGAATAAATTATCACCAGCGGTGTTTTTGTTCCAATATGACCCTGAGACCTTCAAAGAAAGCGCTTATGTTTTTTTTTTAACTCAAAATTTGAGCACCAGGCTTAACTACTTTCCTATTTGTGGTTTAGTAGAAATGATAAACGCACTATCTCAGTACCTCAGAATACTGTCACATAACTAACACATTAAAAACAGTTAAAAATTACCTTAAAAACTAGAAATACAAGTCTACAGCTCCTCTGATGCTATGAATGTTGCAAGAAATGAGCGGCATTGAACATTCATTAAAAGGTGTACATTCACCACTTGACTGAATTTAGAAAGAAAGCAAGGAATAATAATAGTCCCAGTTAATATAAACAGAGATAACAAATAACTATCCGTGGCTCTCCAAAATATGAAATATCCGGAATATACCCAAAACAAATTTTTTAGACAACGTGTTTGACACAGAAATTTTAGCTGTTTGTTGAATTCGGATTTGGATCTTGGATTCGGTTCCCACTCGTAGTTGTTGTAAGTAAAATTAACTTACCCCATAGGATACTGTTATTCTACAGTACCTAAGTGGACAAAACGTTTCATTAATACGCCGTATCACAATATCATTATAAAAAATCGAACCGATTGAAGGCGTAACGTCGTTCAAAAATGTTTTAATCATGGAAACGGTTCAATTTTTCAAAGGCAATTTAAAATGTTTGTTTGTTTTTCATAATCTCAACTACTTTGGTTTCTTTTTATGTGAGAAGGTGGCAAGTGAGCTAGCGGTTCACCCGATGTTAAGTGAGAACCCCTACCCATGGACATCTGTAACACCCCTAGGGTTCCTGATGGGTTGCCACCTTTTAATAAAGTAGGCCTCGGCTACTCACCAGATGAAACGCGGAAGTATAACACTTCCATTCACGCCGACCTTCTATCGTGAATTTAGCCTTAAGATAAGGACGGATAAGAAATTTTGTGGCTTTTTTAGTACTGAATTTCTAGATTATAAAATTCATAAAAGTTTTATAGGCACATCCAACGACATACATCAACATGTATCGTAAACGGTTATTACGGGTATATTGCCTCTGTCACTAAATGCGACGGCTCTATAACATAAACAGGGATAATACGAAGCTGTTTATGCTAACTTGTTGTTTACAATTTGAGATAAGATAATACACGGTCGTATGCATGATCACGAATGTCTTAATACTCGATTTGCAAATTAATGCTCCTTGTTACCTAATTTTACCGATAATTTCGAATTAACTTTTTAATACACAGATCAAAAAAGTCTAAACAAAAGCTTATTTATTCTTTATAAAATACATAAATGATATTTCTTAAGTTATAGCTCTTTAGATGAGTTGGGAAAAAATTATTATTAAATATAAATTATAAGTAAAATTTTAACGAAGCGCGTGCGCATCGACAGACAAAAAGCAACATGATGAAGATGGTTTTGCAAAGCGACCAACTTCTACCAACTTCACGGTATTACATGGCATTATTCCAAGTAATTTAATTAATCAATGTTCCAAGTAATTGATGTCTTCGTGGCGCAGACGCGAAGATATTGGCTTCGGCGTCGGGGGTCGTGCGTTCGATTCCCACAAGGGACAACTATTTGTGCGACCCACAGATAGTTGTTTCGCATCTGGGTGTTTGTCCACGTGAAATTTATGTATGTAAAACGTCCTTGCAACACAGGATAGTGTTATCCTAAAGTAAGGGCAATGTTAAAAGAAAAAAATCCGTTATCAATTGTATTAAATGTATTAAATACAAACAAAGAGTACTGAGTAATATAAAAAAATATTTCAAAATTATTCACGTCTTGGTTAATAATCTCAACTAAAAAAGTAGCCTATTATGACGCAGTAGCTACTGCGTGGTTATGTCATCGCTCTATTGGCAGTAATACGATGATCGCAACAGCGGAGGTAATCTCACATCAGTGAAACGGCTAAAAGCGTAATATTTTAAAGAGAACAAGCATTAGTGTCGGGCTAAATGGGTTATTGAATTTTGAGTGCGAAAAGACGCTTTGGCGTCTTCATTTTGTGAAATAACGCGCGGTTGAGTCTTTAACGTATCGTTTCTAACGACGGACATAGCTTTTCAAGATCCCCGTTAAATATTTTAATAGCTGAACTCCATTATTTTATATGGAGCTGTTCTTAAAGAATTTCGCAACGTCATTGCTGCTGTTATAATTTTTTCTAACACAGTAGTATAAAATAAATAGTAATTGTTCCAGTTCATAATATAATGATAGTATTAAATTTAATTCTTTTTTAATGAATGTACTAATTTTCTTTTGTTATGTTAAACAAATTTCGTACTTTCTTTCTAAACTAAATTACATATTTTCGGGCACACATTTTTTTTAAACAACGTTCTCTGATACTAGAAAAACGATACACACCTCTGGCGCAAGAGGCAGTACTCCCCAGGGGAATCGGGTCAGTCCAATGGAAGGAGCATAACGTTATATTTCTCCTTACGACATGATTTCTACCAACTCACACCTCCAGCAATAACGATTTGAGCGAATTTCCTTATAATGGAATTATAAGTGATGTTATAAATATAAAGAGTATAAAGTAAATTTTAAAGTTTTTTATAGTGCTAATCTCTGCTTCTTCTCTTTTTGTACTTTCTTTCTTCTCTTTTGTCTTTCTTTATCTTATCTTTTTGTACTTTTTCTACATGTTTTAATGTTCAATCTTAAGTGCAGAGATTAGCACTATAAAAAACTTTAAAATTTATAAAAAGCAATGGCGATATCTCTCGTTCGAATTATCGTTGTAAAACGATATTCGAAATTGTTTGTATGCTGGAAAGGATATAACAATAGATGTGCCAAGCATTGCTTCAAATGCTAAATAACAATGTAGAAAGAAGGCGTTAAGATTTTCGTCGCTGTGGCTATCAGCCGTTTAGCTCAGTGGCTAGAGCGTCAGGCCGCGAATGCCGAAGACGTGGGTTCGATTCCCACAGCGGCGACAATCTTTTCGTACTTTTTCTACATGTTTTAACAGTATAAAGTAGTAAACTAAAAGCATATACATGTCCCACTGCTGGGCAAAGGCCACGCGGCCCCAATGCGGATATGCGGACTTCACGTATCCTCGAAATACTTTTTTGTTATTATTTTGTTAACCCTCACCGCGGAGCTCGTGATAAGTCAGCACTTAAAATTAACAATTTCATTGGTGCCGGCACCGGGATCGAACTCAGGTTGCCTGAGTGTATTGAATAAATAAGAAGTACCCGGAGGACCGAGCTTTGCTCGGTTTGTTTTTTTTTGGTAAATCGTGTATTTTGGAAATTACATTTAGGCACAAATTACTGAGTAATGAAATATGCATAATATTTTTCGATCTTACCGACGTAATAATAAGAAAATATGAACTGATGTTTTTCACAAAAGAAAGAACTTTAAAAAAAAGGGAAAGAAATAACAAAATAACAAATCGACAAAAAATTAAAAATAAAGAAAGCAATGATCTGGAATCGAAAAAAAAGTAAAAAAATAAATGTGTAAATGATCGCGACGCGAACCACGGCCGTCTGTTTTGGGGCCGCCCGATTACCGACCGAGCTATTATGACATTTTCTCTTGCGGCGAAATTTACCGTCATATTCGAATTATATTTTTCATTCCCTGAAAACAGAGATAAAAAGACATTTTCTAAAAATGAAACCTAGCTAGATCGATTTTTCGCCCCCGAATCTATGCACATACTAAATTTCATGAAAATCGCTGGAGCCGTTTCCGAGATTCCGATTATGTATATATATACAATAATTGCTCGTTTAAAGGATAAGATATATAAAATAAGAGCCATGATAGCTCAGTGCCCGGGCGCTCGCCTTTAATTCAGTGTAAATAACAGTGCAATTGACAAAAAATATATTAACGCAAACTCATTCTTACAATTGTCTGTCTTCGCAGTTGTGCCCGTGGGGACTTCCTAAAGGTGTATTGGGAAGTGCAAGGTCCCGGTCCTCCCGGCGCTATAAACGAGCGGTCAGCCTGGGCAAGGGAGCTGTGTGGCAGCAGAGCGGATGCCCCATCAGCACTATACTCCCCCGGACAAACCATGGTGCTGGAGTTCCATTCGGGCCCAAAGCAAAACAACGCCACCGGCTTCGTCGGCACCTTCAGCTTTATCGACAAACGTGAGTTTATTTATATATTTATAGGACAAACAACGATGGTTTACTGAGATAATATGTTTTTTTTTTTTTAATATTTTAGATTATATTCTACATAATTTTATTGTATTTCAACACCAAAGTTTACCAATAGATCGAAGGATGATATGACCATTTTTATAAGAATCCAATTTTAAGATGGTCACCGTTAAATTATGTTAGTATTGTACGTTTTTTTTAATTTTAACATTTATTTCACTTTTAATTTTTTTTCCAAAAATTATATAAATCAAATGCTTGCAAGTATGCAGTATAATAAAAACTGATTTTGATTTAATTTTAAATTCAATTATTCTATTTGTCATTTTATTATTAATACGGAAACTGCATAAATTATGTTCACATAAATATCCGCAGTAGAAACCTATTCAGCTACATATAGCAGCATGCAATTTTTTTAATTTTGCGTTCCGTACACAAAGGGTAAAACGGGACAAAAATTCGGTAAATTAGGATTAAAATTGGGGGATATTCATTTGATTTCTCGTCTGGATTAAAATTATTCTTATTATTATTTTTTTGCGAAAAGTTGTCAAACGAGCAAACGGTTCACCTGATGTTAAGTGAATACCGCCGCCCATGGACATCTGCCACACCCGAGGGTTACAGATGCGTTTTTCAACGCCTTTTGAAACTTGGGCTCCAGCTACCTCACTCACCAGACGAAACGCGGAAGTATGTGTCATACTTCCACTTTACGCTGGTCTTCTGTGAGGTCGTGGTACTTATCTGGACGGGCCTGCCCATTCGTGCTACAGCCGAGGCTACCACCGTAAGGTGAACCATCTGCTCGTTTCACATCTTTTCGTATAAAAAAAAGAAATAAAAAAAATCCGCAAGCTGCTGATGCTGATCTGATTATGGAAATAAAAAATTGAAATTAAATTTAAAATTGAAAAAGCTTTGATAAGTGATTTGTAAAAAGAAAATATGAATAAAGCTTGCAGCAATATTTCCCGTAAATTGCAGCTTCAAAGTACAATAATTTTCGATTTGAAAAATTATCGAATTCCGTCGCATATTTCTCAACTAAAGACTCGGACATAAGCCGTAAAACATTAAACGGACTCGAAAATCCAATTTCTAATAAATCGGCTTTAAAATCAGATAGTGAGAAAATCACTTTATGGAACAACACAAGCGTTTTCACGTGTCGCCGCACGGCCGGCTTTATCGTTTGTGCTTTGTGCGAAGCGAGTAAGCCGATAAAATGTGAATCACGCTCAACCGCTGGGTCAACTGTAATCCATGCTTTGATCTGAGTATATTTAAATTGTGTTATCGAATTAACTGTCCTTCAAAATTTAATAACAGTAAACGTTATATAATAGATGGAAAAACTTTAAAATCATAGTGTTGGTCCGGAATTTTAACCTTTCCAGATCAGTTACGTCCCTGCGAAGTGATAGAACGATTGCTAATATGTGTAAAGATATAAAGATAAGATAAAATACTATGTGTAAAGTTAAATTATTCAATAGAATTTCAACTTAATGCGTTTCAAAATAGCTGCTTTAAAATGATAGTTCAAAATACTACACCAATCACTATCGCCGTTGTGATTAATGAGGATATGATATAAAATATATGATTTAGATGATATAGATTAAGTTTTGACGGTTTCACTTTGTTAGATTGATCAGGTTCGATTACAAATTTAAATTGTTTATAGTGCTAATCTTTGCACTTAAGATTGAACATAGAATATGTAGAAAGATTGTCGCCGCTGTGGGAATCGAACCCACGTCTTCGGCATTCGCGGCCTGATGCTCTAGCCACTGAACTAAACGGCTGATTGCCACACCGACAAAAATATTAACGTCTTTTTTCTACATTGTTTCTTAGCATTTGCAGCAATTCTTGGCATTACATCCTAAATTCTCCAGTTACATACTCTGTCAGGTAGATTGATTACATACGATTACATAAATTAGTCTTTGGTTAATGCTCATTGAAACCAACTCAACTTGAACTTTTGACCGATTAGTTCCATTGTGTCAAACACAAGTGAACTAGTTTACTGCGCTAGTTACTTCCATAGAAACATAATGCTGTTTATAAAGATTGATATAGTAGGTGATCCTAAATTTTAATAAATCGAAAAAATCCAATAAAATCTACTTCGCATTAGAGTTTAATAGACTATTTAAAATATAAAAGATCTATTTAAAGTCCCATTATCAATTATATTAGCGATATTTTAATGCGATGCTTTTGAAATAAAACTACCATTCTGATCCAGTACAATATTGTAACATAAACAATGAATATTCGTGCTTAAATACGATGAGACCTAACCAACCAAAACGAGGCAAGATAATAGCAATTTATGTGTTCATTCAAGAGCCTTTACAGAAGCTTTAAAACTATAAACAAGATTAACGAGTTTCGAAGCCGATTAACTAAGTTCATGGCGTGTTCGTCCATACAGACCTCGGTACATTATAAAATTCTCCTTCAAAGATCAATACATCTTTTTCCGAAATATTGTTACATTAAAGTATTTACATAATTATGTCCTAATATTAATTACTTCATGTCGTGAAAAGTCATCTTATATTATTTGTTGTTCTTGAATTTTAAGATTTTTGACCACTGTGTGTTTATATGTTTAGCCCTTTCTCTACACGACCTTGTCGTGTAGAGAAAGGGCTAAACATATAAACACGGCTTTTCACGGCTTTTCACGAAGGAAAAAACTTTTCCAACAATATAGTTATAAATCACATGTGTCACTGACATTCACACGAACAAACAGACATGAATATTGTTTTGCCGACCTCTGCCAGATTTGCAATTAACAATTCAAAGGAGAATTTTGTTCCTTAGTTGAAAATAATGACCTTGTATAGAGATTTGTAGCACCTAAAATTGTCTATAATTGTCTGTTGTCGCTTTGTTTCAAATTAAGAACAATAAAATTCGTTTCGATTCATTAATCATGAAACTCCAAACAGTATATTGCGTTTAAAAACTTCGAGCGTTTCGGTGCCACCACTTTGTAGCAAAAGGTTTTTGCTAAGCAATGTAGCGGGAATTCATGACCAGTAAACTTTATTTTATATACTCGTACTAGACAAGCCGATACCCGCGACTTGAATACTTTGAATAACTTATTACCAATATATTTTACGTAGCACGGCAAGAAAACATACACCAAACGCGTAGTGATTTTAAAAATGTGGTAGGGCCACGCAACAGTGTTCATTGTTGCTCGAATGGGCAGGTCCATCCGGGTAAGTACCACGACCTCACACAAGGCCCGCGTAAATTAGAAGTGTTACACTTCTGTGTTTCATCTGGTGAGTGAGGTAGCCGGGGCCCACTTTATTTAAAGGGGGCACACAGCGGCGGTTATCACTTAAATTCAGAACACCAAGCTCGTTTGCCACTTTATCACATAAAAAAATTGTAGTTTCTAAAAACTTTCGTAACTTTACTCTAAATGAAGATATGACGAATTATTATCTTTTAAATAAATGCAAGCGTCCTGAAAGAATTAACTGAAATCCATTGTTTCATCCAGTAGTTTTCCTGTTATGCAATTACAAAGGCAGAACTCGTATATTTTATTTATATAGAAGATTTGAACTACTTCACGTTCACAGACCTCGTTTCTGTTATAATTCGACAAAGAAATATGTTTTTGAGTGTACTATTTTTACTGTTTTATTTTGCGCGGGGATGAAATAGTAAAATTTGAACTAAAAAGTAACACGTAAGATGTGATGTTTTTAACTGAAAACGAATTACGTAGGCGTATACAATTGATATTTCCATTTTCAGAATTTCACAAGTTCCACATTCATGTCCGAAATGCGGCGACACTGTCATTAGTGATCATACTGAGCCTAAATAGGTTAGATAGAGAAATATGGATACAAAGGCTATCGTCCCCTCTGCTTAAAAGCCTTGGTAGCTTTACCTTTTTAATTTTACAATTTTTTTTTTTGCAGTCTTGTAGACTGAACCACCGAATGTAGAACTTGAGGGCTAGCTAGAATCCAAGGGCTTGACACAGTCTTCCACGTAGGGTAGGGCCGCCATGTGCTCATGCGTGCGTTATCTTATAATGCGAGTGTCACCTACGGGACATCGAGGTTCGGTACGGACCATGAACCCGAATTCCGTTGACTGTATTCATCGGTGGCTGGGAAAGGTTTGAACCCTGGAGCACGGGTGTACCTTGATGTGTTGTGTTGATTCCAGCCGCTCCTAAGCGAGGACGAACTAATAGGTTATGTGAGTAAGCACTATGTGTAAGTACGGAGTTGTCTAGCGAGCCCTCGTTGGATCTGAAGTCACGATGTTGTAATTAAAGAAATTTCCTATCGGATCTCGTAATGCCTATTTATTTAATATATTCCTTTAAACTAATTTCCAATTCATCGCCTCTGCTGCATACTACCCGTCACCGTGTTGATTGGACGCATCGAACTTGAATGTATTATGAGCCGCGGTTTTGCAGTTCGATTAAAATTAAATTTCGAAAGCATTATGGGTTTAAATTTAAATTTAATCTATCGGGTTCCCGTCTCGCCAATGAAAATTGTTAAGTGCAGTTAATATGCGGCTTGCAAATTTAACGCATAGCTTATTGTCATTTTTGTAACAGCGAGTACACATGGATGGTCGTTAATTAAATCAATTCACCGCTTTAAATATTGTCTAACAAAATGAAATGCTGAGAAAGAGTTTATATGAAATATAACTGTTGACTGAATAAAATAAAGCGCTACGGAATAAAATCATGGATATATATTCGAAAAAGCCTTCGTGAAACATTATTTAGTCATATATTTATTTAGTATCATTTAGTCGTGTATATTCAATATTTTTATTTAAATATTTTAAATTTAATTTCCTGTAAATTTTTTTTCTTTTTTTTTAATTAAAATTACTTCTACGTTACGATTTTACTTGATTACCCTATCTGTTGGCCAGCGTACGGTCCATATCAAATCATGACCAGGTTAAAGAGAGGAAAAGCAGTTTCCTCATAGAACCAGTCAAATTTCTCGCAATGCTTGTGGAAGTTGCGTTGAAAATTGGAAAAAACGGGAACTAAAATTTCAATGCACATAATATGGCAATAGGAAATTAGCTTGTAGCGTATCAGATTTATGATTTTGTTGGTAGTGTTTATCGAAATGTACGAAGAACTACAAGATTGTATCTGCTATAAATTTTCATGCTTCAAAGAAACGCATTTTGGCGGGAATCGACCAAAAATTTGTTTCGAATAATTTGTCAGAATTCAAGATCAAAAAACTAGCTTATTGGCTCCAGTACACTTTATTTTCTTACTTGCGTTTTTAGGGTACCGTATCAAAAGAGCAAAATTGGTACCTATTAATAATACTCCGCTGTCTGTCTGTCTGTCCGTCCGTCTGTCACCAGGCTGTATGTCATGAACCGTGATAGTTAGACAGTTGCAATTTTCCCAGATGATGCACTTCTTGTTTGTTTCTGTTGGTTTTCTCAGTCTGTCTTAACGGATATCAATGAAAACTACTATAACAGCGATGGGTGTGTGTTTATTTTCGTATTTACATACTAATTGGTATGTATGAGAAAAGGTCAGATTTTTAACAGTGTTCCATAACCCGTGTGTCAGATTATTTGTATAGCATTGTCTCTCCGTATTAAGCTCGTTACATCTGTTTGAAGAGAAATCAAACTAACCTTTTCAACTTAAACTTTTAAATATTTGAATTCTTAAATTACGAACGATATCTGCTTTATGCTAAGGCAAACAATATTGTATGAGGTTGTTTATATAAAATTTAATTGCAATATTTGTTAACTTTACCACGCAAGTACGCGTTTTCCATTTGAATATGGTATGTTTCAAAATTTACGCCCATTTAGTGTATAATCATTCCGATTCAACATTTTCGGCTATAATTGCGTCCATTCAAAACTGACCAGACATTTCAGTATAGATGCAAGGAAAAAGTTGTTGCAGTTTAGTACGCTTTCAAAGCTAATCCTTAGCGAGTGACATTCATTTGTACTATTTACATTTTGCAGATTCATTAATTTATTTTCAAGATACGAAATGAACTGGAATTGTCTCTATTTTTGACTTTTAACTATCGTGTAAATAAGGCGTTCGTGACAAAAGAAATATTTTAATTGTTTTAAAGACCATTGCTGTGTTTTTGCTCTCTTCGCATTTCTGCAGTTTGTTCCTTTACTTCACAGCTGGCTCTTTGACTTTACTCGTAACTCCCCTTAATGAGTTTGCTTCATTGCTAGAAAAAGCAATTCCTTTACACGTACAAATGGGGTGTTTGGTAACAGTTTTTATCATAGTTATTTTCTTATCTAAAACATGTAAATAAAAAAAAGTTATATATTAAATAAAATGAATAACTGATTTCACAAAAATAATAGAGTAAAGCCAATTACTAGCCATTAAAATTAAGCATTACAATTTTTCCTTTCCTCCTCTAAATATTTCTTTAAATATTATTTTATTGGGCGTAATCGTTGGGCAAATATTATTTAAAGCACGTGGTAAATCCGCACCTGGCATTACAGTTACCAGTTTTGTTCAAGCTAGTATTTTGATTTCAACTCAGATAATTCAAGTATACTAAATTAAATCAAACGGTCCTATCAGTGTCAGGAGCTAAGTAGTATAAATAAATAAGATAGATGAATAACATTCTAAATGAGGAGATATTTGTTCAATGGATTAAACATAAGCTGTTATTGGTCAGCGTATAGTGTAAAATGTGCCAAATGGATTTCTTCCACTAATGCCCGTTAATACTACTATATAAGAGCGGCCGCAAGATGTACCGAGCTATTTGTTCGCTACTGCTGCAGACTAATAGCAACGAATCTCTATTATTTTTATTGCCTGGTAAAATAAATACATTCGATAAAGGCAAGCTCAGGGTTGCATTTCCAACGACAAAAGCAAGAAATGTTTGTTCCTAGTAAACAAATTTACTAGAAACAAACATTTCTTGATAAAAAAATCCATTCAATAATTTTTAGACATCTACAATTTTTATCTGTCATATATGTCAACGTAGTACAAGTTAAACCAACAGTAACTACATTACCGCTTTCCATCAAAAAGAGTTACAATTCAGACATGATAAAAAGTGGATATAAATAATACTATCCAATTTCCACTGAATCACTACTAAGTGATATGCTCACAGATAACGTAAACTTGTAACCACCATGAGCTCTGTTAAATAGAGAAAATTAAACCTACACAGTTTTCAAATCTATTATATTAAAACGATACGAGCTGGAATTCGAATCGGAATATCCAAACTCGGACAAAACTCGGCGTGACCAAAATATGTATAATGTAATATTTAATGTTACAGAATCTTTTCCAAAATATTTTAGTAGTTGTAATAGGCCATAAAATATGGATAGTACAGCTTAATAAACAATTTATATACGACAAATTTTACAAGAGTTTCACTTAAAACCAATAGAGTTTTACAAAATAAACCTTTAAAACTTAGATAATTTCGCTAAAACCCCAATCTAATAGGGTAACTTGATACGACTAAGATAACAAGCAACTTGATGGGAGTTCAATTAACATCGAGTGAATTGACCAACATGATAGGATAATTTGTGGTATTCCAGATGCACCTTATCTGATTTCAGCGTCTAACGGATGGATTTAGTTAATGAAAATCCGATATGATCATAGTAAACGGTTGACCGCCACTGTATAAATGAATTGAACGTAAAACATCTATAAAATATAATAAAAACGCAATGATTAGTTATTTTATTTTAACTTTAAAATATTCTGATTTGCAAATTACGGTACTTTTCTAAACTAATAGGATTCATTGGAGGTAGTTAAATTGTAGAAAGAATAATTTTCTACAATTTACCTGTGCAGAAAGAAGTACATATACATACCATGTTACTTACATATATACAGCGTGTCGTTACAACCGCGACAATAAATGAACACGAAGGATAACTTTTTAAAATTATATTAAGCATTTACATTCTTTAAACATCAATATTTACCGAGTTATAAAATTTTACAAAACAAACATTTCAAGAACACCCTTACGTATAAAACTGTAACGTAAAGTTCATTTGTAAAGGTCACAAAGCATTCGAATGGGTTGAATGAAATAAAAGAGATAAAACTGCTAGAAGGAGAGACTTGTAACGCGACGCTGTGGCAACGAATGAAAAAGTCTCTGAATGTATGAATCAGTCAGTTGTAGTTGTATAGGATGTTACAAATTTAGTTTCTTTTTTATTTAATTATTTTGTTTGAAAAATTTATTTTTTTTTATTATGGATTTTTTTAACGTTTTTGATTTGTTTATGATTATTGGCAAGTAGCATTAAACGTGTGTTCATTTATTTTCGCGGTTGTAACGACACGCTGTATACATATATATATATAAATATTAATATGTTGTGCGTGTTTACTCTTTCACGTATGTTATATGTATCACAGGTCTTCTATATAATGATACTTACTTTTTATTTTTATTTCGACTGAATTCATAAAGGAGGAGGTTTCAACCTTCCGCTTTAAAAAATACATTTGTATTTCACAATTCGTATTTTTTAAATGTTTGTTACCTCAGAACTATTGACTAAGTGAACCGATTTTAATGATTCTTTTTTATTTGAAAGCTGGTGCTTCCCATGTGATTTTAATTTCATTGTTATTGGATCTTGTGCTCTGGAGATACTTAGGAAAATCTATCTTCTACTGTATCGACAAATATGTATATTTAGTATAATGAGCGGGTGTTGGTTTGCATACGCAATACACACGCTGTCCGTCCAGAGGGTGGGGCTACCAGCTATCTGTCCGATAACTGGCTGGAACCACTACGGGTACGCGACCCCGGACTGCTCTAGCTACTACTGGCACATTCCACCTGCATCCCGTGACAGTAGCATCACACCCCCCCCCCTCCTTCCCTTCCCACCTTCACTCCCACTAACCTAACTCTCCAGGGACACCATTATCTAGTTCCCAAAAAGAAGGAAAACTAGCTATAAACCCGGAACGCTGCCTCCGTTCAGGCGAGAGCCAGGCACCTGCGGCCGAACCGGCACCACACGTATTGACTTGTCATTCCTGTGGAACCTGCCGGGGAGGAGGAGAGGGTGGCACGGGTTCTGGGCAAGCCCGTGCTGCCATAAAGTCGTCTGACCCAGGCGTAGTAGCATCCGCGGAGAGGTCACTTCGCCCACCTGCCTTACAGGTGGAAAACAACACGGGAAGTGGCAGTACCGGTTGTAAGTCAGCACCAATAGGTGTAAGTGCGGGCGCCAGGGGTAACTTCCGACAGTAGGAGGATCCTTTGTAGGTCCACTGATCAGTTACCGCCTGCTCTAAGTCGGGCAGCCCTCGACCAATAAGGTACTGATCCGCCTCACCACCAACGTGCTCTGCCTAGGTGAACAGAACACAAGCCTCACAGCTAGATGTTGGTGCTGTATCTACAAACACCTGCTCAAACAAATACACAAAAACCCAAACCCAACATCAACGCTACTTACATGCGCTTCGCGTCATGGAATGTCCGAACAATGAGGACAGGCTTTCCGAACACCTGTGGGTGTTTCGATTGCGCCCAAGACCTACGCAAAACTTATAATATCGACATCGAACTCAAAAGGCTCAACGTCGATATCGCGGCCTTACAAGAGACCAGAATCGAAGACGAGGGGTCTATACGCGAGGCGAACTACACTTTTTTCTGGAAGGGCAAGAGTTCGACAGAGAACCGTGAGCATGGTGTAGGATTTGCGATCCGTAATCACCTACTAAACGCTACAGAGACACCTATTGGTGTGTCTGAGCGTATTATAATCTTGCGTCTTAACACAAAGTGCGGCTTTGTCACTCTTATTTCCGCTTACGCTCCGACGCTCAATTCCACATCTGAGAACAAAGATCAATTCTACGACCGGCTCGAGGAAACGCTTCGTAGGGTACGCTCAATAGACAGACTTTACATCTTGGGAGACTTTAACGCTCGCGTCGGCCAGGATACCACCGCTTGGCCTGAATGCCTTGATGCAAATGGTGTAGGTAAGCAAAACCGGAATGGTCAGAGATTGCTGGAGTTTTGCTCCAGGCACCAGTTGTGTGTAACCAACACTTTTTTCAAGGGCAAATTGATGCGGAAAGTCTCCTGGAGGCACCCCCGATCGAAACACTGGCACCAACTGGACCTTGTCCTTAACAAAGTGACCTACGGGACGTACAAGTACCTGACGACAAAGGGACCTACAGGAAACTCTCCATACGCGGGCTTTATGAAAAGCACTGACTGCGACACTGATCACAGCCTCGTGTCATCCAAAGTGCGGCTTGTCCCAAAGAGAATCCACTCCTCAAGGCTCTCGGGTCGTAAAAGGATTAACCTTTTTAACACTCGGGACCCGGATGCAGTGGCGAGTTTCGGGGCCTTGGTTAACACGGAAGTTGCTACATAGGACAGATCGGCAACGCCGGAAGCTGAGTGGGAAAGACTAAAAACTCTCCTCACTGTAACTGCAGGAGAGGCTTTCGGCTATGAAAGGACTAAAGCTCGCGATTGGTTCCGTGAAAATGAAAAGCACTTGATGCCACTCATTGACTTGAAGCGCCGTGCTGCTCAAAACTTCCGCCTCAACCCGTGTGATGCAACACGTGAGGAGCTCAAAAGAGTAAAATCCTCACTCCAGCGTAGCGTACGATTTTACCTTGGCATCCAATCGTGCGCGAACGCAGGGGATATTGGCGGAGTTTACGCAGGCATAAAAAGAGCTATTGGACCTATTCCGAAGAAGACGGCACCTCTAAAGGAAACTAACGGCTCTATCATCACAGATAGTAGCCGACAAATGACTAGATGGGTGGAACACTACACCGGCCTTTATTCTCGCCCCGTCTCCATAAAGCCGGAAGCAGTGGAACTTGCCCCGAGGCTGGAGACTTGGTATGAGTTAGACGCCGTACCCACCGTAGAGGAGCTCTAACTGGCCGTCAATCAGCTTAAAGGCCGGGCAAAGACGAGGTGTACACAGAGGTTGTCAAGCTCAAATGCCTTCTCCCAGTCCTTCACAACCATCTGGCTAAATGCTGGGAAACGGGCTGCGTGCCACGCGATATGCGTGATGCCAACATCGTAACCCTTTACAAGGGCAAAGGTGACTGCGGCGACTGTCACTGCTACCGCGGAATATCCCTTCTCAGTATCGTCGGTAAAGCTTTTGCTAGAACAATCCTAGGCAAACTGCAGAAACTCGCTGACCACGTGTATCCCGAGGCACAATGTAGCTTTAGGTGTCAGCGGTCAACCGTTGACATGATATTTTCTCTTCGTCAACTACAAGAGAAGTGTAGAGAGCAGCAGACTCCACTAGTCGTTGCGTTCGTGGACTTGAACAAGGTCTTCAATACTGTGAGCAGGGAGGGGCTGTATTCAGTTCTTACTAGGATTGGATGCCCGCCAAAACTTCTAAAGATAGTACAGTCATTCCACGAGAACAGTTTTGCACAATGGCGAATCGTCAGAGCCGTTTCACGTTCGCAGAGGCGTTCGTCAAGGCTGTGTTTTGGCTCCAACCCTGTTTGGAATATTCTTTTCTGTACTTCTTAATGTTGCTTTCGGTAATGAGGATCAGGGCGTCCACCTTCACACACGATCCGATGGTAGGCTGTACAATATCTCCCTGCTCAAGTCCAAGCGTCACAGAGAGGACCTCTTTGTTGATAGCCTTCTCTTTGCTGATGACGCTGCCTTCGTCGCCCATGATCAAGCTGAGCTCCAGAAACTAGTGGACAAATTTGCCAGAGCATGTGACCTATTCTCCATGTCTATCAACGCTAAGAAGACCGTAATTTTAGCGCAAGGAAACTCAGAGCCTTCAGTAATTCTGCTACACGGCGCTCCACTGGAGGTGGTCAGCAAGTTCTGCTACCTGGGTTCGCAAGTGTCGAGCAATCTCTCGCTTGATGCAGAGATCGATTCCCGCATCGGCAAAGCGGCCACCACGTTCGGGAAGCTCCGTTCTAGGGCTTGGGACAACAAGCATTTAACGTTAAAAACAAAGATGCTTGTTTACGAAGCGTGCGTTCTTAGTGCACTGCTATACGGAGCGGAATCCTGGACGACATATGCAAAGCAAGAACGTCGGCTGAACAGTTTCCACATGCTCTGTCTTCGAAGCATACTAGGCGTCACCTGGAGAGACCGCATGACAAACGAGTCTGTGTTAGGCGCTGCGCAACTACCCAGTATCACCGCCACCCTCAAACAGAGAAGGCTCAGGTGGCTCGGGCATGTGCATCGCATAGAACAGGCTCGTTTGCCAAGGCAAATTTTACTAGGAGAGCTCGCAGATGCAAAAAGACCCATTGGGCGACCTATATTGCGCTTTAAAGATTGCGTCAAGCGTGATATGATCGCATTTAACATTCCAACGCAGCGATGGAAAGAGCTGTCGGCAGACCGAGGCAAGTGGCGTAAACTTGTTCGAGAAGGCCAATCTAAGCACGACGAATCCTGGTTCGATCTTTTAAAGAAAAAGCGTACAGGGCGTAAAGAAAGAGCCGCCAACCCCGAACAACGAGGGGGCTTCACTTGCCGAGGGTGCGGCCGAGGGATCGGCCTCTTCAGCCACGAAATGTCACCGCGACGCTACTTAGATCATCTGTCATAGATGCTAAGGCCTATTATAATATACACACGCTGTGTAACTTTGGCTTTTGGTGTCGTTGCCAACATTATCCATGTTGGCTAATCTTAATTTAAAGCAATGTTAATATTAAGCACTATGGTAGAACTTATACTTCTTCCTATTCCAAAGCCTTTTCTGTCGAAGCGGTCAGGCTTTGTAACTCCTTACCGCTTCGAATTTGGCGGGCCCAATCACTGGCAATATTGAAGACTCGTTAAAGCACACTTTCTTCCTTCCTAAGTAGTATTGTGTACGTGTCTATAATAGCTATATTTACAATAGCCTCTGTAACATGGTTGCCAGGAAGAAATCGCTTCTAAGCGATAAGGCCGCCAATTGTACCTTTATATAATTGTTTGTTACTTTTGGAATCAAATACCTGTAAACGAGCAATTCTTGTATATATCGTATATTCGGAATCTCGGTAGTATGTGTAGTAAGGTATATTATAGGTGTGCGGTAAGGTATATAGATTCGGGGGCAAAAAATTGATCCAGCTAGGTTTCATTTTTAGAAAATATCCTTTTATCCCTGTTTTCAGGTAATGAAAAATATCATTCGATTATGAAGGTAAATTTCACCTTAAAAATTTTATAATAGCTCGGTCGATAATCGGGCGGCCCCGAAACAGATGGCGGCGGTTCGTGTCACGATCATTTACACACTTATTTTTTTCTATACCAGATCATTGCTCTCTTTATTTTTTATGTTCTTTATTTTCAAAATACAGGATTTAAAAAATAAAGAGAGGTCCTCCAGGTACTTTGTCTGGTGTACAATAAAGCATATTTCATTCATTCATTTATATTTTGAACCGAATTCAAAAAAGGCGGAAGCTCTCATTTCTTTTGATTTTTACCTTAGAACTCCGTCTTGTTGAGCTCTCATGTATGTATTAATTTAATTGGTTTTGAACCTTTGGTTTCTGGATCCGGGACCTCCTGAAAATCAAAAGGAAAATGTATAGTGACTGAGATATTTAGTTGGCTTACTTTTTACTAAGAAAAATGTTCTTACATCATAACAGATACTTTCCTATTTAGTGCTAGTTACTTTTATTTGATGTACAGCCTCACGGGAGGGTACGAAAAAAGTTTTCCGCCTTTTGCATTTTGTGAGTAAAATAAAACAATCTCAAAAAATCAATAAGGTTGAAACTTCAACCCCATTTATATAATTAGATGTCCATAGGCTTTCTTCTAAAAAAAACCAGTAAATAATATGAACAGGTCTTCGCGGGTTGGGTTAAAGCAATAACTGTATTTGTATGTTCAAGATAAAACAAGTTTTGACAATCGTTTTTGACATCAGTCAAAAATCAGAACTAAATAATCTGATATATCACCAGACATGACAAGTAAATAATATCCGTTGAAATCTATCTCAGTACATGTCATGCTAAACCTGTCAGTTTTGTCAAATCTATAATTTTCTCCGTCATTGCCACCATACTCCTTAGTATAATCCCCTGACAGTAACACATTGCAAGGGTACAGGTGTGAAAAGTCCTGAACAAACATTTGTCTGAATTAACTAGAAGGCCCTCTTGGCTAAGATATGCTGAAAATATGACGTAGATACTCGCGAAAAGCATAAAATGTGGAATTTTCTCAGCTCATGTAGATTTAAGATACGTTTTATAACAGAAAACTAAATTTCTTTGATACGTTGGTGATAGTAAAATAATTGAGCTGACAATTGTGAGTTAATTCCTTGAACAAATAAATTAACTGTTTGTTTTTATAGTTCAGATTGTAAAGGATCGTTCATAAAAGGCGAAACAGAAAAAAATCGTTTGATTGTATTTAATTATGTTGTTTTGTATTAACGAAGTCAACAGAACGGGTTTATGGGTTTATAAGAGACTAATTATCCAGCAATTTACTCGTTTTAAATATTTAATATGCATAAGCAAGTTTAAAAATGAACTGATATAAAAAGAAATCAAATGTTTTGCTTATAGTTGCAAGAGTGTTCCAGAAATTTTATACGAAAAAAGTGTAAATATTCTCCCTCAAGCAAAATATTAAAAAAAGAATCTCGTATAACTATGAGGCGTAATTAGAAGTCTTAAATTTTCTTCTAAGCAATTATGCTTAATAATAAAGGACCAACAAATAAATCATATAGGCCTGCAATAAGCGTTTTAGGTAGAACATTGTGATTTATTTGGAAGTTTTATCCGCTATCGGTGTCTCATCATCACCAACCACTAGTAATTTTTCTACGATCTTCTATGTACTTTACTTTCCTTTTTTTTTTATAAATGCAGAATGTTAGAATTAAAAAGATCAGAAAAAACTTGTCCTCCGGAAAACCACAATATCTATTTGGTATGTCTAGTGACCATAAAAGCTGTTATGTTTGAAAGGTGGGGAATTAAAAACAAATTATACGCACGATATAATCCGAAAAATAGTTTTAGTTCCAAATTGAACAATGATATGATAGCGTAAAATAATTTAATTGAACCATAACATAAAGGTATGCTATTTTTATTTTGGTTTTGCATTATTTACAGTCAGTTTTCTTGTAATATTAAGTTATCGTGTTAAGTTAACTTATATTACAAGAAAATTAATCTGCAAGTATCCCTTATTACATTGTATTAGTGTAAAATAATTACGTAATAAAGCAAGAGTATGAAACAATAACTAAATTTTTTTAATAATAACAGAAAGAAATTACACGATTTTTGTTAAATACATAATGTAAATAAATATAATGCAATAAAAATAGTATTTTTGCCAGTTGCAATAGTAAAAGTA